CCTTAAAATCCAAAAATCTCGTAAAAACGAAAAGTTCAAGACTGTTTAACTATAGAGGTTAATTTGTAACTCGTGTAATTTCCTACAAATTAATAGTTTTTGGTTTTATGATTTTAGTCATAGATTTAGTTAAAAGAGGTAGAAAAAAGACTCAAAGTCTCGGTCTCAACGTTTATATAATATTAAAGAGTGACACGTGTTTCGCTCATACGAGCATCATCAGACCTAACAAAAAGAAAGAACCTAAATAAATAACGAAAAATAAAAAGGTCGACGTAACTTACAAATACAATTAAAATTAATCTACACACACGTTCACATTTCACATATTAAAACAACACTGAGATGAGGCTGAAATGCCCGGCAAATATTTGTCAATAAAAAACTAACAGGAACAAAAAAATCAAATAAAATCAAAACAAATTAAAATTAAAAAATAAAAATGGAATAACCCAGCGGGATTTGAACTCTAGGCTCCCGGGTGAGAACTTTCAGAGAACTTTCACTCTCTGGTTCTCACCCGGGAGCCTAGAGGGAGTTCGAATCCCGCTGGGTTATTCCATTTTTATTTTTTAATTTTAATTTGTTTTGATTTTATTTGATTTTTTTGTTCCTGTTAGTTTTTTATTGACAAATATTTGCCGGTCATTTCAGCCTCATCTCAGTGTTGTTTTAATATGTGAAATGTGAACGTGTGTGTAGATTAATTTTAATTGTATTTGTAAGTTACGACGACCTTTTTATTTTTTGTTATTTATTTAGGTTCTTTCTTTTTGTTAGGTCTGATGATGCTCGTATGAGCGAAACACGTGTCACTCTTTAATATTATATAAACGTTGAGACCGAGACTTTGAGTCTTTTTTCTACCTTTTTTTAATTTAAACCAGGTCTCTTTGAGAAGAATGGACGCCTTCTTTAAATTTTATAGATTTAGTTGTTAATTTTTTTCTGAAAAAATGAAGTGACCATTTTATTTTTATCATAACTCCGCGAGTTTTTGAGCTACAAACTTGAAAAAACCTTTTCAAGTACTTTAAAAACGGTCATATTCATTTTCTTCGAAAAATGTGTTCTTTCGCCATTATTTGACGGTTAAAAGATCGCGCACACTATACCTACACGGACCGGCACGGACCAGACCAGTAAAATCTACCGGTGAAGGTGACCGTGTTATTTAATAGAGTAGAGCACACTAGACCAGTACCAGCACGTACCGCCACAAGCCACGACCGTCAAAACAGGTCGTGTCGGTCAGGGACAAATATATGACCGACAATTTTTATGCCTGGTCGTGCTGGTCCGACCTAATGTGCGCACCGGCGAACCAGCACACCTCCACAAACATGCAAATATTGAAGGGTTCGTCAGTATTTCGAGTACGCTAGCTGGCTCAAGTCGCATGATGTAGGTTAGATTTCGTTTATTTTTTTTCGAACCTTTCAATCGTTTTAAATATGAATGAAAAAAAGCTTATTTTACTGGTACAAAAGTATTCAGAGCTGTGCGATACGAGCCAAGCATTTTATATATAGAGACCAAGAAAGAAAAGATGCAATATGGGAGTCGATAGCAAAAAAAAATAATTAAATTTGATTTGTGACATTCGAAAATATTGGAAAAACTTTTCTTCGAATCTTTTTAATTCAGGAAACAAATAATGAAATTCGCCATATTGCTTTCTCTTTTGATTTATAGGGTGAACCCAAAATCTTCTTTTTTTCTTAGCTTCCTTCTCTTCCTCCTCTTCTTCACACAACATGGCTAAAATAATAATTTCTTCCTCTGAACTACTCATTTTCAATACTTCTATGTTGCACGCTCTAGTAGTTGAGCCTTGACAACTGTACTTTTTTCGAAACTCTCGCTTATGTTGCTGGTCTGTGGCGGTAAAGTGTGCGACGTCATGCAGGATGCAGGTTTGTGCTGTGCTGGTCCGTACTGGTCCGTGTAGGCATAGTGTGCGCGATCTTTAAAGGTTGTAATTTAGTTTCCGAAAAATAAAAAATCACCTTTACAGAGTGATAACTCGGTTATTGTTATACCTAAAGTACTCAACAAAAAATGAGTCGATTTGTTATTACAAAAGTTTCATTTTTGCTTTATATGAGTTTTGCGATAAAACGAAAGGTTTTCGAGTTATTTATAAAAAATGGCAGCAAAATATGCAGTTTTTAGATGAAAAATCAACATTTTCAATCCGAAATAGCTAGGAAAATATTAATTTTCTGAAAAAATGTTATAGAACATTTTTTGCTTAGAATTCATCCCTTTATTGATTTTTTGCAATTAAAATGGGTGATTTTTCACCGCCGAGAAGGGGTGGCACTCATCCCCAGGTTGAAAGCACATATTGCTACTATGTAACTTTTGTTTCTTCCATTTAGCTCTATTCATTGTTAAAATTTCACGTCAATCGGTGCGGGTGTCAAGAATTCGGAGGTAATACCCTATTTGCATCTTCGCTTACTGGCCTAGTACTGTCGTCTAGAATGTCATTTTATTTGGAATAGGCATCTAAAGGTTATTTGCAAAAATTTACTTTCAAATTGCTAAAAATTTATAATGCGGCCCAGAGAATATACACGCCTCGGTTCTTACTTAAATCAAGGAAAATCATTGATTTTTCTCAGTCGTAAGTTCTGAGAAACTATCTACCTTAGGTTGATGAACCAATGGGCCAGTTTTACAATTTGATATAATTTTGTGTAGGGATTTCTCAAAGTGAAATTCCGAGGGGTGTCTCACTCGGGTAAAAAATGTACACGTACTGCCAAAATATCCTTCCACTGCTAAGCGACTGCCAATGACTATGAAGAAGACTGCCTATGACTGCCATGTAATTATTATAGGCGACTGCCATAAGACTGCCATAAGACTGCCAATGACTGCCAGCGACTGCCAAGAAAATGTACAGGTAATTCCAATAGTGAGACACCCCTCGTGAAATTCATTTAGTTTCAATAGTCTTATATGTCCAAATAATAACAATCTTAAAATATTTAAAGAGATGAGCCTTTAATTATCATAATTTTTATTATAAATTGATAAAAATATCAATTGCGTTCCCTGATAAATGGCGTAACAAATCTGTTGTTCCGTAAACACATTATCTCAAACCAATAACTTTGAATAGCAATTCAATCCAAAGCATACGCAATCCGTTCAGATTAATACTTGCTTTACGGCTGTTGCCAGATTGCAGCCTGAAAAGGAATAATTAATGAACTACATAGGTATCTCGTGGCGATGCCGTTTGATCTGAATTTATTTTATAACGCTCAAAGCCGAGTTAACTCATTAACGGATCCCTTAATCACCTACGTAACCGTTATGAAATGAAAAACGAAACGGTTCGATAGCTCCAAATGGCTCAAAATGGGGTTTATGTCGGTAAGTCACAACGATAGTCTTTTGTACGATAATTAATTAAACGTTGATGAATTGCAGAGTTGTGCTATTAAATTTGAATAGGACAATGTAGAGAACACAGAAATACATTATCTATGTATAGACTCTAATTTGAATTAGAAATGGAAATATTAACATAAATTATGTCGCGTTTTTGTATTTTCTGACTTTTCTAAATTTGATTGATGTCAGTTTCTCTGAGAACTTACGTAATAACAGTTTATAAGGAAATCAATAGTTATATAAAAGTATACCATATTGGCAAAACAAATATTGGGTCGGTGTTTACATGTCTAGGAGTGAATCACTGTGGCGATGTTATAAATGCAAGAGGAAAATGCAAAGCAAAGGAATAGAAATTGAAGCCAAATTTTTGAGATGGAGCTATACAAAATCCACATAAGTCGGTCCTTTTCGTTCAACAGCTGTGAACTACGCAGGCGTGGGAGGTACTTCTCGATTAGTTGATTTATTTCATACTAACCAATAGAAATAGTTTTCTAAGTTTCTCTCTACTCTACCACGTAAATCAATTTAGTGTCTGACTATACGCGCCGTTTTAGAGCGCGTTTAAAAACTGTAAACTTTTTCTAGAGCTGAGGCAGATGCTCTCTCCCATGCCAATCTCCCATGACATATGTACACGGTGTCCCAATATTCCGTGGACATAGAACTATTAAGTATTTTTGGAATCAAAATAAGTTCATTGGACACAATTTACCTCTATACAAAAGTGCTTCGTTCGTCCGCTAGAGGGCATTAAACTTTAAAAAATAAACACATTTTTCCAGATATTTTAAAAACGATTTTAAGAGATTTTGGTTGTCTATATTTTTTTAAGTGCTTTAACATTTAGCTTTCACAAAAATGAAGAAAAAGTATGGGAAGGGTGAAAACCACCCCCACCCCTACATAAATTTTAGTATAAATATTTTCCAACTCCACCATTTTCTTTTCGTCAAATTGTCCCTCTAGTATTTACTACATATTTTGTCTCTTGCAAAAAACGCTACATGGCATATTTTTGGGGAATTTATTTTTCCAAAGTAGACCTACAAAATATTATATAGGGAGTAGACATACATAGGGAGTAAACATAGAACAACTACGTATTTTTTGGACCAAAATAAGTTAATTGCACATAATTTACCTTTATAAAAAAGGGCTTCGTTTGTCCGTTAGAGGGCCTCAATCCAACCCGAAAGTTAATTAATTTAAAAATTATTGATTTTCTTGAACTTTTTATTAAGCTTATTGTCGAATTTAATTTGTGATACTAACATAAAATTTTTTCCATATTTTCGCCAACTAGATTATTAGAGTATAATAGATTTTATGCGCCTCCATAGCTTGACGTGACAAAAAACATTTTTTAGAAGCCAGCTTTGGAATAAGAATTTTTCCTGAAAAAGTATGCACGGTGGCGTTTTTTAAGATACAAAAAATGTAGTAAATACTAGACGAACATTTTTTACGAAAAGAAAATCGGCCGTGGAGTTGGAAAATATTTATACTAAAATTTATGTAGAGGTGGGGGTAGTTTCCACCCTTCCCGTACTTTTTTTTTATTTTTGTGAAAGTCAAATGTTAGAGCAAACATAGACACCCAAAATATTATTCAAATCGGATCAAGGGTTCTTCTAATATACTTACTAAGTATTAAATTATCCTTAAAAAATTTGTTTGTTTCTTTAAAGTTTGATGCCTCTAGCGGACAAACGAAGCACTTTTGTATAGAGATAATGTAAGCCATGCGAAGCACTGTTTTTCGCACGCGATGGATAATTAAAGTTGTTTTAACCTGACCTTTTTAATTTTAGTATTATGCGTAGAGAAATATTATCTATGTGACGATTTGATAAAAACATTGGATTCATAACGTTAATATAAAAATGCCTTTTATCTGCATGTTTCCTCAATTTCCACCCAGGTGTTGTCTCGTCTCAATTCATTATAATAATTTGGATTCTCAACATAACTCTTTGTAGCTCTGTATAATCATAATGAATGTTTCATCATCCGTGATCTCAGTAATTAAACTGAATTCACAGGTTGTACCATTCCTTTGCTATGCTTGAGATCTGAAACAAATAAATATGTATAATTATGTGACACATCAAAAAAACCTCGAGTATGGTTTATAGGAGGAAAAAATTAAAAGTTGATGCCGTTGAAGGGCTCTAAAATCTCAACAGAAATTGGCTATGAACTTTTTATCTTAGTCTTTAAGTTAACACAAGAATTATTTTTCATAAGAAATAATTATGGTGTTTATATGCCTTTTAAAAAAAATAAGCAGGATTCAAAAACAATTGCTAACAAAGCAAATTTACATTTTTGAGTAGTATGCTCCACTTATTATATTTTTTAATTCTTACCTAATTTGGTTGTAAACAACTGCCTGGGTTAAATTCTTAAAAGAGGTCTTACAAGAGACAGATATTATACCTCACTCACAAAAACTGCATCATCTGCACTTTGGAAGATTCCTGATTTGGGTTATCTGATCCTTTCTCTAAAATGATAGATACAATTTAAAAAATCTAAAACGATAATTTTAATAAATCAAATTCAGTTTGGATTCGTAATACATATTTAACATTTTTAATAAACTTTGGAATATCTAATAATTGAATCACTCTCTGCCAAATTAAAGTAGCCAGTGCCATAACTTGTTTATTTACAGCTCAATTAAAATATTTTTTGTTATAAAGTTGATAAGATATTTTTTTTAAAATAATGTTCATCTTCATTACTGAATAATTTACGACATTAATTTGGCCTACAGTGTAGGTACGTTCTTTATTTAACTAAATGCATATACTTACCCATATGAACTGGTGTATATAAAAACTTTAGAATTAACTTCTAAACCTCTTTTTATTCCAGGTACGATCTTGATTACAAAAATGTAAATCACAAACTCTATAAATCTTTTAAATATCTTGCTGTGTTGTATTTTCCATTTTAAGGTTTCGCACTTGATATCAGTTTTGAAATAATGTAGGACCGTTCTTCGAGAATGTATGTCTTTTGGAAAACAAATCCGACATCGGAACAACATAATTATGAAAGGGTTTACGGCCTGATTCCATCATTGTTTTTAATAAAAAGTTTAAATAATCACTAAAATTCCAGTAAAACTTTTTTCGATTTTTGACGGTACATATTATTTGATTAGAACTGACTTGATTTGATTTGAACTGCCTAAATATTTTCGCCTTAAGCGCGACCGGTGGTTCGTCACAGAACTAATAAATTTGTATATAACTGGTTGCGGTAAAATTGTCCTTTCAAAGATCTCAATTTCAGTTTCCCATATATTTTAGTTTGTACATGAGTGGAATGAGGTGTATGTAATTACGTAGTAGTTCAATGTCCACGGAATATAATGGGACACCCTGTACAAGGAACATTAGAACAGATCAAACGAAGAGCCAAACAGTATAATATTAATAATTTCTTGTTGTTCTAGGGACCCCAAAATAGTTAAATTTGTGTTTTTGTAAAGTCTGTCTGAAAACATCGAATTGTTGGACCATCCTTCATACAGTCCAAACCAAACCAAACCTAAGTCCTGATGACTGTTTTACTTTTCCAAAAATTAAGAATGAACTGCGTTTTCAATAGATCCAGTCCCCAGAAGATGCAGTCAGCGCCTTCAAAAACACCACTTTCAAGGTTTGGTTTGGTGGCCACAAGCAAGTGGAGTGCCACAAGCGAGTTGGAGTGCTTTCAGAATTGGTTTCAACGCAAGGGATACAAAAATGCATTTATTGTCTTGGAGAAGCCTTCTAAAACAATATTGTTTAAAAGTCTTCTATTTTTTCCTACCTCTATATGCAAAATACAGGGTGGTCCGAACTGTAGGCAGCATATTCTGCAGATAAATATAAGTAAGAGAGTTCGTATAAACGAATATCCTAAAATGCTTAGTTTCTGAGATACCTACAGGGTGAAGAAGTTTCATTTTTATTTCGATTTTTCCCAAATAATTTCTGAAACAACGTCAATATAGGGATAAAAATTGGTGTCTGGAAGTATTTTGACATGAGAAATTTGATTTTGATGTCAGTATGACTCGTAGAGTAGTAGTAGAGAGCGCTACTAACTCGTACTTGTAGGGGGCGCCACCTACATATTTTTAACTGGTTTGAAGAGTAATAATTTTTCGTCTGTACCTGTATAAAACTACTGAGTAAAAGAATGTACATTTACGACGTTTTTTACGTAAAAAAGGTCTTTTGGTAAAAATCGCTACGAGTAATGGTTCTCGAAATATTTGGAATAGGAATTATGTATACATGTCCGTATTGATATAAATTAAACATGTTGAATAAATAGTTACTAGACTGAAATAAAAAATTTGCAATGTTTTGTGCCAAAAGTTCACAGAAACTGTTTTATCATCATTTTTTCGAAGACAAATTTATAATTAATTTAAAAATATAAAAAGTTCACAAATTTATCGTTTCAGTCAAATAACTATCAACTCAAAATGTTTTTTTTGTCAATAATGACATGTATTGACTATTTCCATTTTAAATATCTTGAGAATGGTTGCTCGTAGCGATTTTTTCCAAGAGACATTTTTCACGTAAAAAATCACATGAATGTAAATTTTTTTACTCACTAAATTTTACTTTTTTCAACGCAATATTCCCAATAATTTAAAAAGACTCAAAGTCTCGGTTTAAAAAGGCTCTTTTTTATAGTTCCTTTTAATTTAAACCTGGTCTCTTTGAGAAGAATGGACGCCTTCTTTAAACCCAAAAAAATTGCCGATCTTAGCGATTTCAAAATTATTTTTTATGCTTATCGCACCCTGACATTCTAATTCGATAAATTTATCTTATCTCTGGTATTACAGGGGTTAAATCTATAGATTATACGGTGAAAACGAATTAAGGATTTTGACGAGGTGAAATCGAGAACCCCCGGATAACTGCTAATTTGAATATTCAAATCTGCAACGATTAAAATTTCTACAGGCATTAAAGTTGCCTTTTGCCAAGTCAGTAAAAGAAAATGATAATCTCCGGTGTTTATTTTGAGACCCAGGTAAACGTTGATAATCTTTATTATCAAAATTTTCACCCGCTTGTTTAGGTTAAATCAGAGAAGTGCGAATTTTCCAAAACAATGTAGAGTAGATTCTATGGGAGTTTATTGTGTCCCCCTTTCTTCAGTTATAACTCATCATACAGTCTTAGGGCTTTCACAAAAGCCAGTATCTGAGACGGTTTTACAGAAATTAGTTCTCGGCGCACTCAGTGATGAGGTGTTCTGCTACATCCCCATTTTCCCCACAGAATCCGCATTCGCCGTTTTCTTAGCTTCAATCTATTGAGGTAACAGGTGTGTGACATACTAAATATCAGTATTTGAATACAAACCGTTTAGTACAAATTACTTAAACACCAAATCCAAAAATTTTATATGAAAACCTCATTATTTTTTAAAAGGGGTATAATCAATTATACTTAAGTCTATTCTCATGCTTATAGATAACATATTTTCCATCCACGCGGAAAGTTTGAACAAAACATATTTTCCAATAATAACGGATTTTTTGTTAAAATAAAATTGAATTATGCAGCTGTTGCTTTATTTAATAAACTTTTATTCTTAGAAATCCTCCGTTATCTTGTAAATTTAAAAGCAAATTGCTTTTTAAAAGGTTCTTATGATTATTTTTAAAGACAAAATAGAAAGGCACAAAAGCTGTCAGCAATGTAGTGACTACATAATAATTTAAATGTATTTAATCTTTTTGTTTAAAAATGTCTAAAATTAGGCTGCCTCCTTTATTCAGTTTTCTCTGCTTGGTCTGGTCTATGCGCTGCTGACTATATGAATTAACTTGTGCATCTGGCTTCGCATTCTATGGAATGGTAGTGTATGAGTGGTGGTAGATTCAATAGGACTTCAATATTGCATTTGTGAGAGTGCTTTTAGGACCCCTGTTATACAGAAGTAAGCAAGCATCTGTGTGGAACTTAACAGCCTTATAGTCACCACTTGCTGCGTCATTATCCTCCATAGTATTACCAACCCTTAAGTTATCATTGGTCTTAGTAAGTATATCAACATAGGGTATTTTGCACGAGAATAAGAGAGTGGAGACGCTACTATACGCATTTCTGTACGATAAAAACGGTATCAGTTTCGATGTTTGGGTGAAGCAAAAGGAGACCATTTGGACAGGACCGGATTAGGTAAAATTTCAAATAATAAAAGCAAACAATGATTAAGATTTGCCTTGACCTAATGTAATATTTATTAATCCACTAAATATATGTCCGTTATGCTGTAGTAAATTTATGCCTCGTAATTTCGTAACCTAACTTTTATTTTTTATCGATAATTTTGTAGCAGCTGCGTTTGGCTGCGTAAACCTGCGACCCTAATCTAACGAACCCAACCTGTGAAGTAACATTTCCGGTGTGTTTCTTCTAGTCAATATTGAGAAATTTCACTTTTTGAAAAAACCTTTTCTACTCCTACAGTTGCGTACAGCACACGACACCCTGGTCTTTAACGTTTTTTTTAATAGCTAATAGGTACTCAAATTATGGACGAAAAACATCATTTTGTGAAAAATGCACAAATGACAATAACAGACCACAATCAAATAAATATGGCTGACGGCTGGCTGATACCATTTTCGCAACAGCTGTAGCACCTCCTCCCTCTTATTTCCTCCGTCCTTAGTTTCCTAGTCCTAGTTTTTACCACAGATCCTGCATCTGATTATGGAGATTGTAGCTATTATTATTTCAGAAAACTACGAAAATGTTCTCAATATTTCTTTGCTTCTGATGATGGAAAAGTACCTAATGGTATTTAAAAGAATTATCTAATTTCTAAACACTGACGTACCATTACATTCAGTAATGAACTAATATTCTGTCATATTTTATCAAAATAATCCCTAGCTTTTGACTACAATTCTTCTGTCGTATATCGCAAAGATATATTATACGTTTATATGTTTGATCACGACAGCTGTTGTTGAAGCAAGTCGATACATTTTTATTTTCAATTAGGGAAAAGCAATATGTTCGTAAGAGCTTTAACCAATCGAGCATTAGAAATCAATTTCGAAAACTAATTTTATAAATCGAGCAGTTCAATGTTTTTGCTCGCAAATTCTCTTTCGTTCATTTGAGATGACTTAGATATATTTTGTCTTATTATGAAGTCCTTAGATAATATAAAATTAATATGACTTGAAAGGTAAGAAGTTTTGTAATTACTTCTTTTTATCTGGAAAAGACCATAGTGATTTAAACTGAAAACCTATTTTTTAATATTTTGGAAATATGTATTTATTTTAGAATATTTATTGATTCTTACCTTATAGGGAAGTAAAATTAAAAATAGTAGTAACTTAAAAAAATAGTTAGTTTATCAGATAGATTATTTACCACTTGCAATCACAAAATATATAGCTATGTACAGTACGTCTGTCCGTTCTGTGGCTACGGGGTATCCGTGAGAGGGGAAACGATATTCTCTCGATGTTTTTCGTAAAAAATGACGACGTGTCCCATCAATAAAAATTCGACAAATTTGCAAGTAGCCAATAAAATGAGTGGGCGGAGCGATTTGCGGTGACGTACTCGTCAAATCGACGTATAAAATATATTGCTGTTTATTTAAATGTTTTTTGTCCGCATTCCTTTCATAGACACAAATCCAGCAGACGCACTTTATATATTCTGTGCTTGCAATACTACCATATCATGAAAATATATATACATTGTTCATACCAATTAAACTTTTAGTCGCGTTTTAAACTTGACCGGCACAGGCGTTGCCCAATTTTCCTTATTATATCTTTTAATCAAAATATTTTAAGAAAAAATAAACAAATTAATTATAAATATATAAACAATTATTATTTACGTCAACAAAACTCACTTCCGTATCAGCACTTAAGGTTCATAAAGGGCATTTACTACCGCATTCCCGTACAAAATCTATACTAATATATAAAATCCTTAAGTCACTGACATACTGATTAATCACGAGCCTGCTCAAACCACTCAACGTAAGAAGCTCAATTTTGGCATACAGGTTGACTCTAGGGAGTAGAGGTTCGATAAGAAGGGATTTTTCGAAATTTCAGTGCCAAGAGGGTGAAACCACCCCTCAAATATTACAATATTTTTTATTTAAAAAACGGTGAAGTTTCCGAAAAAACGCTTAAACACGTATATTTTATTTTGTTTTTTTACATATTTTAAGATTT